ATGCCCTCTACAATGTGTCTGGCAGCCTTTGCTTAAGGACCTCGAGGAAGGTGGAACCCACCAGCTTCTGAGGAAGCCCGTTGTGCTTTGGACATCGCGCCTTCACTTAGTTCTTTTCACCTTGCCCCCATTATTCTTGGTCATGATCTTTGGAGTGGCAGAGCCCGTCTAGACCCCAACAACACGCGTCCACCCGAGACTTCTCAAAGATAAGCGCCCCAGCTGCTCCAAAGTGATCCTCATATGGCAAGGACTTGAGGACCTTCACAATCACCGTTGTCTGCTTCCCATGCCCTGTGGTGTGCTAATAGTAGCAGTAACTACCCCATAGGGCCTGACAGTTGTGAGTCCAATAAATTTGATTTGAGGAAGCTGCTTTCTTGTGATAGGTTGTCTCTGTTCTGGACCTATCCCTTCCTCCTGCCTGACAATCTCTCCATTTTCTGGAACTTTCTATGCCTGGAACCTTCCGTGCCTGATTGCAGCCTAGAGCTGTTGGTTGTGAGACCAGAAACAGGAACCCAACGATAAGCCCAAGAGAAGCCCTGCTTCTTGCTCTGATCCTGGTGCTGGCCTATTGCACGGCTGACCCAGGAGGGGCTGAGCTAGGACACACACAGAACCCACTTTCCCTTTAGTCTTAGAGGTCTTGGCTCCTGCCTGGGTGGAGGAGACGGTGACCTCAGCTGGTGGATTGCTGAACTGGGAATTACCCCCGCAGTGGGAGCTGCAATGGCAAACCTAAGAAGGCCCTTTTCTAGGACTCCTCTGCAGAACCCCTTTGGTCTTGCCTCAGTTCAATGAATGCTGTGGCTGTGAGGGCCTGGTTACCCCTGCCTTCCACACAGTCTTCTCACCCTGGTTGTCACGGTAAGCCTCGTGCTTTTGTCCATATGCCTTAAAGGGTGCTAATTAAAGATGGTTTGCTTTTAGCATCACTGGCTAATCTGTTCTGGTGACTAGAATAAGTAGGATGACCAGAGTCTGACAGCCACATTTTGGGGTTTTTTTCCTGTTTCTCCTTCAAATTAACTGTGCCAGATAAGTAGCATATCCCTACTTACTCCATTCACCAGATGAGGAAGCTGTAACAGTGTTACTAGGGGATATTTACCCTCGCTCACAAAACACAGAAGTAGAAAAGTAGGATTGGATCCCAGGGGCTTGGCGTCTCCATGCAGTGTCATGTTGGGCACATGTCAGGCTTCAGCCAAGCAGGCGAGTGAGCTAACATATGGTTTGAGAATGTGACCAAAAATGTGTCCTGTCTGGAAGCTCAGAAGATACAGAGCTTGTCCTAGCCACTGCAGAAGCAAGGAACAGAATCGTAGACCCAGAAGGAGGGGTTTCCAAATCTCTGGAGACATGCTCAGTTGGTCTGGGCTTGGAGGACATGGGGACCTCACCATTTGTACCTTAGGATTGAGGATGCTTCTTCTATGAGGAACCATAGCTGAAAGAAGTCCGTGTTAATTTACATATGTAATTTCTATTCATGTATGTAGATAACATATATGTATAAATATCTGCAGACATAGGTTGTTGTTCAGTCGTTTCAGTCCTGTCGACTCTTGGGTGACCCCATCTGGGGTTTTCTTGGCAAAGATCCTGGAGTGGTTTGCCATTTCCTTCTTCAGCTCCTTTTACAGATGGGGAAATTGAGGCAAACAGGGTTCACACATCTAGTAAGGGGCTGAGGCCAGATTTGAACTCGGGGAGATGAGTCCTCCTGACTCCAAGCCTGGCACTCTATGCACTATGCCGCCACTTAGCTGTTGATAGATAGATGTAGATTGAGATGCTAGATATGCGAAACCATGGGACTCTGACCGTCATTCCCTCTGGAGTAGAAAAGTGAACCTGGAAAAGGAGGCCTGTGCATAGCATGGGAACCCAAACCAAACTTCATGGAGAGGAGAAGAGCATGAGGTAGGTTCCACTGGAGGTGTAGGAATGTGTGCAGTGTCAAAAAGGGGCCTCCCCTCCCCCAGGATTTGGGGCCTGGCCCTCTGACACCTGACCCTCTGACACCTCTTCTAATCCTAATGGCAAGGGAAGAGGATAAGCATTTATACCATGCCTGCTATGTGCCAGGCGTTGCACTAAGCACTTTTTTTTTTACAAGCTTCTCATCTGATTCTCACAACCACCCTGCAAAGTTGGTGGCATTGTTGTGACATAAGTTAAATGACTTGCCCAAGACCACGCAGAAAATGCCTGAGGCCAGATTTGCACCTTTTCTTCCTGACTCCAAGCCCAGCACTCTGTGCATTATGCCACCAGAGACCTCAAGTATTCACTCTAGTGCCATGGCACGGCCAAGCAGAGACAAGGACAACGAAGGGTATGAGGGTCCAACCCACCTCTATCTAGCCCTAGCAGCCGCGCCATTTCAGAAGCCTCAACTGCAATGGGGCCACCTTCACCCACTGACAATGACCAATCACTGCAGTGCGCTAAAAACACACCGCAGTGTCTGCTTGGGAAGGGACCTCCAAGACCGTCTACTCCAACCCAAACCTGAGAAAGAATTCCTGCTACGACCCGTCCAGCAAGTGGTCATCTGGCCTTGGCGTACTCTTCAGCAAGAACCCACGCCTCCTGCTGGAGTCCATCCCATTTTTGTATAGACATTATGTTTATAACAACTAACAATTGTATAGCATTCACTATGTGCCAGGCACTTTGTAATTATCTTATGTGATGTCACAGCAACCCGAGGAGGGAAGGGCTTTTGCTATCCCCACTTCATAGATGAGGAAACTGAGGCACAGGTTAAGTGACTTGCCCAGGGTCATACAACTGGGATGTATCCGAGGTTGTATTTGAACTCGGGCCTTCCTGACCCCAGGCCCAGTGCTCTACCCACTGCACCACTTAGGATATCAAATTTTTCCTAACATCGAGCCTAAAGTTGGTTCCTTGTGATTTCTACCCATTGCTCCTAGGTCTGCCTTCCCTAGCCAAATGAGATATGACTTGGCTACATGACAGCCTTCACATAAGTGAAGACAACTATCATGTCTCACTCTCTCCCTTCTCCTAGCTAAACATCCCTAGTTCCTTCAATTGATGCTTACGTGGCATAGACTTATGCCATGAGTCAAGACCCTTAACTATTTTAGTTTCTCTCCCTGTTCTTAGAAGCTATGCATTTCTTAATGAAGGCCACATTTTTGGTTGTCCCATACTCATGTCAGGCTTTCAGTTCACTAAAATTCCCAGGCCTTTTTCAGATAAACTATTATCTAACCCCGTCTTGTACTGGTGAAGTTGATTGTAAGTGTAAGACTTTATATTTATTTCAGTTAATGTCACCTGATTAGATATAGCCCAAGAGAAGGGAAAGGATTAATGAATTTTCCAGTTAATTTTTCATTTTTCAGTTGCACTTCATTGAATATAACTTTTACTGCACTGTGGTCCTTAAAAGACGTGTTTTATATTTCTGCTTTTCTGTGAGGTTCTTAAGGCCTAATAAATGGTCAGGTTTTGTAGGTACCATACACAACTAAGAATTATGTATGCTCCTTTTTATTCCCATCCAAAAATTTCCAGATGTTTATCATATCTAACCATAAATTTTATTCAGATCCTTGGACCTTACTAATATAGTTCTATTATAGTTCTCTGTGTAACTCACTTAACTTTTAAGTATTTAAATGCTATATTACTCAGTGTGTGTATATATATGCATACACCTATGTACATATGTACACACACACATACATATACATACATAACACACATACAATTGATCCGTTCTTCTATCCTCTTCCATTTTTTGCATGAGTTCATGACACATTCACAGTTATGAGAATTAATTCAATTTTGTTATCCTTTTTTCTTCCCTTTGCTTCCCCCTTTCTCTTTGCAAAAAAAAAAATCGTGGTGAGGAATGTGTTCTGCTCCAGTCTCGTGCCTCTTCTCTTTCCCTAATTATAGGCCTCTTCTGTCCTCCTTTTTCTTTCTTTCTTCCTTCCCTTCCTTCATCCCTCCCTTCTTTCCATACTCTTTTTTGTGATCTATACTTTGTGGTTAGAGTTTGTTTTGCTTAGGACTATTACTTCCCTGAATTCACTGTCTTCTCCCTCTTTTCTCTCCCCGTTCCCTCCCATTGCATGAAATGGATTTCTGTACCCAACTGTTGGGTCATCTAGGTGGTACAGTGGATAGAGTGCTGGGCCTGCAGTCAGGAAGACCTGAATTCAAATCCAGCCTCAGATACTAGCTGTGTGACCCTGGGCAAGTCATTTAATCCTATTTGCCTCAGTTTCTTCATCTGTAAAATGAACTATAGAAAGAAATGGCAAACCACTTCCGTATCTCTGCCAAGAAAACCCCAAATGGGTCAAAAAGAGTCAGACATGACTAAAAATGACTAAATAACCAAACCCAATTCTGCATATCTATATTCTACCTGCTTTTGACCAGTTCAGATGAAAGTGAGTATCAAGTGTTGTGTCCTCTCCTACTCCTCTCTCCTTGTTTGAATAATCTTCTCCTTTTGTACTTCTTTAATACGGAACAATTTTCTGCCTTCTTCCTCATTATTTTCCTGGCCCATAGTACCCTGAGCTCCCAGGTAATGTCAGACAACTGAACTTTCACCACTGATGTCAGGACCTACACCAGCCTCAGGGTGTAGGTCCATCTGCCTATGGACCACAAGGTGACACTATGAGACTGTTTGGAGACTGATGAGTTTTTCTCTAAACTGAGCCTCTCAGATCCCTCCATTGCATTCAGTGGACCGTACTATGCCCCAGCAGGTGCTTCCTTTCCAGCCCCTCCCGTAAGGCAGACCTAGTCTCTGCTCTGTTACCCATCCTTCCCTCCTCACACAGTCTGGCTTCTTCTCTGGGCCCTAAGAGGACTGAAGAAATAGTGCAGATTTGCATGACGGGCTGGGGGAGGGGTAAGGGAGATAAGAGAGGCTTGGCAGAGTCCAGCTGTAGCTGAGCGGCCTCAGGGAGCAGAGCTCTGGGGGCATCTCCGCCATGGCCTGGACTCCTCTCCTGCTCAGCCTCCTCACTCTCTGCCAAGGTGCCAGCCTGAGGAGTCTCAGGGAAAGGGGACCCTGGGGGCCCAGAGGGGCTGTCTCCTCTCTCCCTCCCAGGTGAGGGGGGCAGAGGGAGAGGGTCCCTGGCCCCTGACTCATAACTCTCTTTCTCTCTGTCTGTCCACGTGCTTGGGCCCACTTTGTGCTGACCCAGCCAGCATCAGTGTCAGGCTCTCTGGGTCAGTCAGTCACAATCTCCTGCACTCGAAGCAGTGGCAACATGGATAGCAGCTACGTGCAATGGTACCAACAGCATCAGGGCCAGACCACCAGGCTCATCATCTATGACTGGAGTAGCCGTCCCTCAGGCATTCCAGAGAGGTTCTCTGGCTCCAAAGACACCTCAGCCAACTCTGCCTCTCTGACCATCTCTGGTCTCCAGGCTGAGGATGAGGCTGACTGCTACTGTCAGTCCTCTTACTATAAAAGTGGCTACTATTAGGGCACAGTGGCCAAGGCTTTTGAGGAAGTGGGACAAAAACCTCTGAGCTGTGCTGTCTGCTACCTCCCTGGCTCGGTCACCAGCAGGGCCTGAGGGCTGTTCAGTGTCCTGTGGGCAGAGCCACGGTCTGACCCTGAGGGAGGGAGAAGAAAGAGGAGGTACACGTCTATCCTCCTGTACCACATTGTATGTGGGGCCCGTGGTCCAGGGAAGCAAATGTAGTGTGGTACGGTGGGGAAACCGTTCATTCAAGAATCAGAGGATTTGGGTTTCAATCTTGACTCTCATCTTTATCTACTAGATGACTTTAGCCACATCATTTAATCTCCCAAGGCCTCTGTTTCCTCATCTGTAGGATGGGGGCCCGCTAAGGTCCCTTCCGACTCTCCATTCATGGTCCAATGACTTCTCCTTCAAGCACCATGAACCTGCCATCATTCCATCATTCCCTTTGGCTTGTTTTTCTTAGGTGTACTCCCCACCTCCTTCTTCATCCCACAGACCTTCATTCAGTGGTCTCCCAGGCCATCACCCACCCTCCTCATCTCCCTTCATTCCTCTTCACTTGCTTGTACTGACCACTGCTGCAGGGAGTCTCTGGCTGAGCTGAAGGGTCCACCATAAAATGATGTCATCTCTTCTGAACTGGTCCCTCAAGGCACCTAAGCCATCCTGTAGGAACTTTTCCTTAATTAACTCTATTTTGCAATCTTTACAATGGTTATTCCAGGATTTCTCTTCTCAGTCTCCTGATTTTCCACCTCCCTGCCCCTGAACGTCAAACTTTCCTTAGTATGACCCTGAGAAAATAGAGCCCATTCTCCCAAAGCTTCCTCTGGAATCTCTACCCTCCATCTCCGGCCACCTTGATTCCATGCCTCATTCCCTCCTTTAGTCTCTCTTGTGTGGTTCCATCAAGCCCAATGTGACTCGTAAGCTCTGGGGCTACTCTCCCAAACCCCACCAACATCACCAAGTGATTCTGACATCAGGAAGCCCAGTAGACAATGGCCCTCCTCATCCATGTCCCCACTTGGACAAGTTGCAGAATGCCAGTTGACTGAGGCAGGGAGAGGGCTGGCTTCTTGAGACTCCATGCCTTCCCAGGGACTCCCAGACCCTCAGGGCTTGGACTTGTTCCCACTGGGCTAGGGGATGTGGGCAGCTGCTTCTTCCCCAGCCCATCTCATGGGGTCAGAGTCAGAGCACTCTGTCCTGATACCCACCTTCTCCTCCACTCACAGTCCTCTGTGGCTCTAGACCCAGCCGCTGGGACCTAACAGGGCTGAATTGCAAAGGAGGAGATGGAATACAGGACTCTGGGGAGGGATGACAAGTTAGAGAGCATCTAGACTTGTCTGCCAATGGATATGTGTGATTTGGAGGAGCTGAGGATGGACACAGAACGTCAGGTTTCTTTTTGGATTGAAAGTGCAGGAGAGCAATTGAACCAGGACAGGGCTGGAGGAGGCGATTCCACTGCAGGGGGCCCAGTTAGGCAGACAGGCTGAAGTGGGTATTAGGACTCAGAAGGGGTGAGTTCTACCATAGTCTGAGGTCGGAGGGTATTTGGAGAGGGGGTGGTTTAAGATAAAGATTGGAACATGACGTTAAAATAATATTATCAGGAAAAAAGGAATTTGGGAGAGAGTTCTAGTCAGGCAGGTTGTGAGTGAAAATGGAGAATGGGGAATGACGCAGGGAATTGACTCTTTTTTAACAGTCTGATTGTAAAAAGTAAAACAAAACAAAATACTAAATTCCCAGCTGGTGAAGTGTCATATCTGATAGTGAGGACATCTGATTGGGAAAAGAACTGAATTTTATAGCAGGAGAAAGGGAGTCATTAATAGGCCCTTCTCTGAATGTAGATGACTCAATTCATGATGAGTCCCTCAGGGATTAGCACTCAGATTATTTTAATTTTTTTAATAGCGCTCAGATAATTTTAATTTTTTTATTTTAATTTAATTTTTAATAGCACTCAGATTATTTTTTTAAAGCATCTGAAAGTATTGTGTACTACACAATACAGTTAAACTGGTTCTAGAACACATTGCTTATTTGGCTGGGGTCTTGGGTCATACATTAAATTTATCCACCATCAGTAAAATGTGGTTCATTATTTATAGACCATTCAGTAGGCAGTAGGGTTTATTGAACCTCTACTCTGTGCCAAGCTCAGTGCTAAGTGCCGTGGGTACAAAGAAGGGCAAAAATAGTTCCTGCACTCAAGGAGTTTACCGTTTAATAGGGAAGACAATATGTGAACAGTGTGATGAATAAAAAGGTTTGAGAGACAGTTCTCAGCAATTTATTCATTTTATTAATAAGGCCAATCATTTGGTAGTGTCTCTTAGACCAAAGACTCCAATGGTGGCGGAGTCATGGTTTATACACCCTTTGAACAGTAAGTGTTCCTGAGGGATGGCAATTAACTTGGACTGGTTAACACAATAAGAGGTGTGGGCTAGATTAAAATGCAGGTCTTGACGTACCTGACTTATCAAATCTTGGTCAAAGAGACATCGTTTTCCATATCACCTGTCTTGGTAATATGACAATCAAGCTTTCCTAAGACCTGTTTGAACAAACACAACAAGCAGGAATATACCTGTTTGAACAAACACAACAAGCAGGAATATACCTATCAGCCCAAACTTAGAATTTCCATTATAGTCTGATTAGGTTTAGGTCTGATTATTGTCTTGATCTGGGTAAATCTCTAAGAGAGATTCCCACACTGGTTGGTTTCTGGATGAGGAAGTAGAAAAGTAGGAAAACCTTGGTCATAATAAAAAATTAGTTATTAAATACAAGAGAGAAATATTCATTTCTTACCATAATATATTTATGGATAGTAATCTCAGAGAGGAGGTCATTAGCAGTAACTCCTCCTGTGCATAGGTTCGACTGGATTTCTTTCCTCCTCTGGTGTGCACCGCTGTGAGATGTGCCCAGAAGTTGAGTATCCAAATAAGGATAGAGATCACTGCTTCCCAAAGGTTGTGACCTTCCTGGATACTGCAGAAACTTTGGGTATAACACTAGCATTGACAGCTGTTTCCTTCTCTCTCCGGACAACCCTGGTTCTCTGGGTGTTTGTGAAGTTTCCAGATATTCCTATAGTCAAGGCCAATGACCAAACTCTTGGCTATACTCTCCTCATCTCTCTCACCTTCTGTTTCCTCTGCTCCTTGCTCTTCATTGGCCATCCCACTATAGACATCTGCCACCTCTGACAAACAACTTTTGGAATTGTCTACACTGTGACTGTGTCCTCCATTTTGGCAAAAACCCTTTTAGTGGTTCTTGCCTTCAGGGATATAAGGCCAGGGAACAGAATCAGGATGTGGGTGCAATCTAGGGTGTCCAACTCTGTTGTCCTCATCTGTTCTGACATTCAAATGATTCTCTGTGACATCTGGTTGAGAACTTCTCCTCCCTTCCCAGATATGGACCCAGACTCTGAACCAGGTCACATTTCAAATCTTCAGAACTGGTTCTGAAATCAGCAATGTGAAAAAGCCTGCAGCTTAAGACAATGACCTTCCCCCCTAGGATGGGAGGAGACCCAATTTTACTATTGTTGTTCAGACTTCATCATCGAAGTGGGCCAATGACATCATGAGAGCAATTGAGTGAGGCAGAGTGGCTCAAAGTTGTTAGCCTTGATCTCTTCTCAGAGTCATCAAAGTCCATTGGGATGACAAGAATCTCGACAACTGGACATGGCCCAGGATTCACTGGATAACCTCGACTTTTTAAAATTAAAGTATTTGCCAGGTCTCAGTTTATCTGAGGCAACAGCCATTTAATGACGAAAGATTAGGTAAGAATTAAGACAAAACATAGCCCATTTTACCATCACAAAAATATCAATCTGGGAGAGTAAGACCCTCAGAGCATCTGGCCAGAATAGAAAACAATCTCTTTTTACTCCCATTCTAAGCCATCAAAACCTAAACAGTGAACCACAGAGGCTTGGGCGGGGGCTATTATTGGTCACTGGATGAAAGCCAGAGTGACTTAGGTTTAAAAGCGTAGTCAAGTAACTTCATTGGAAACATGATGGGCTTTTTAAAAAAAATTATTTATTTTTAGTTTTCAACATTTACTTCCACAAGATTTTGAGTTCCAAATTTTCACCCCATCTTGCCCCTCCCCCCACCCCAAGATGGCAGGCATTCTGAATATCCCTTGCCTTAGTCTGCCCTCCCTTCTTTCTCTCCCCCTCTTCTCTTATCCCCTTCCCTTTCTATTTTCCTGTAGGGCAGGACAGATTTCTGCACTCCATTTCTTATATTTCTTATTTCCCAGTTGCATGTGAAAACATTTTCTTAAACATGTGTTTTTAAAACTTTGGGTTCCAAATTTTCTCCCTTCCTCCCTCCCCACCCACCCTCATTGAAAGGGCAAGCCACTCAATATAGGTTATACATGTGCAGTTATGCAAAACACTTCCATAGTAGTCATGTTGTGAAAAACGAACTCTATTTCCCTTAATTCTATCCTGCCCCCCATTTATTCTATTCTCTCTTTTGACCCTGTCCCTCCTCAGAAGTATTTGCTTCTGATTACCCCCTTTCCCAATCTGCCCTCCTTTCTATCATTCCCCTGCTCTCTTGTCCCTTTCTCCCCCTATTTTCCTATAGGGTAAGACAGATTTCCACACCCAATTGGGCGTGTATGTTATACCCTTCTTCAGTCAAATCCTATGAGAATAAGATTCACTCATTCCCTCTCACCTTCCCCCATTTCCCCTCCACTATAAGAGCCTTTTTTTTCTATTTTTTTGTGAGATAATTTACCCCACTCTACCTTTCCCTTTCTCCTTCTCCCAGTATAATCCTCTCTCACCCCTTAATTTTATTCTCCAGATATGACCCCTTCATCTTCAGCTCACCCTGTGCCCTCTGTCTGTCTGTATCTATATCTATATCTATATCTATATCTATATCTATGTCTATCTATCTATCTATCTATACATATAATTTTTT